TTCAAGACCAGCTTGAGCAATGCAGTGAAACTCTTCTCTACTAAAAAAAAATTAAAAATTAGCCAGGCATGGTGGCATGCGCCTGGAGTCCCAACTACTCTGAAGGATGAGGAGAGAGGATTGCTTGAGGCTAGGAGTTTGAGCTTGCAGTAAGCAATGACCTGGCTACTGAACTCCAGCCTAAGACTACGACCCCATCTCAAGAAAGAAAAAAATAATAACTTTTAATCCCCATATTGAAAAAAAAAAACAAAAACACATATCTGTTTTTTCTGAAAAGTGTGCTTGTGTACTGCATACATCTCTTTATCAAGTTTCATCTCACTGATGTAATGTTATGTGTGTTTTATATTGTTACGTGATCTATTGTTACATTTGTATTTACCTACCACATATTTAAATTTTTTAAGTAACGCCATTGGATTTTTATTGAAACTACATCAATCTATACTGATCAATTTGAAAAGAAATAGCATCTTTAAAATATCAACTCTGCTACTTCATATCTACTCTTTAGGTCTTCTTACATTTAATACGTGAATTTATGAGAAAGATCTTAGATTGTTCCATTACATTTACTTCAAAGCACTGGATGTTAACCTGCTATAGTCTTCTTTAACAAAGTCAGAAATAAAAGCTGAACGTTAGCCTTTTTAACTCACATCCATGTTTGTTTTAATTTATTCTAACTTTACCCATTTTTAAGGTGTCATTTATGAGTAATTTGTTAGATGCAAAAATCTGTTAAGCCCTTTACATTTACTGCCTCATTTAATTCACCCTCTCTAGTAAATATAATCAGCCCGATTTTCCAAGTAACGAAACTGAAGCTTAAAATGCTAAGAAACCTGTGCAAGGACATATTGGTAGTAAAATGGCAAAAGAAGATCTTTCACCTATGGTGTCAAATTGCCAAGTCTATTGTTTGTCTCAGTATTCTCAATCATAACCTGGGACTTCATTCCACTTTATTTCTCATGTAAATTTCAAATACTTATTTTTAAATCTTTTAACACCTTATTGTCTAGTTTCAGTTGTTTTGCAGTATCTTCATTTAGTCTACTTTAAGTTGTATAAGTGTTAATTATCTTAGTCTCAACAGTTTTATGGTTACTCTAAAGTAGTACTTGCCATATTTAGGAGATGAATATAAAAAG